ACATTAGATCATTGTGTTTAAAACCACAGTCACTCCTGCAAATCATTTTCTTTAGTGCATTATTCAGAACTCTCCAGTCTTCTGTAAGAGGGACATTTCGAGGAGATCTGAAAAACCTTTTCCTTTCCCCCTTAACCTCCACCCCCTGCAGTGTTGGTTTGGCAGCTCTAGGCAGGGCTACACAGAGCACAGAAAGCAGGAACTGTGGTCTCCTGTGGAGAAAGATTAGTTCATTGGCTTTAGCTGAACAGTGACCGAAATTTCCAGGACCTTGTACTGGGAGTGACAAGATGAGGTATAAGAAATACATGGCTATTCTGGAGGCAGCTGTGGGTATCACCCCACTGAACAAAAGAGAACTGCTACCTGAAAGCAGAAGACATGTGAACCTTTGGCAGCACCCTGGGTAAGCAGAGATGCCTGGAAGCTTCTCATTGGAGATGTCTATACTGCCTGGGCCATTTGGGGCGAGCAGACAGAGAAAAGAGCCATCTCTCTCAGGGTTAAATTCACTTGAGAACTTTACTTCTCGGTGGACATGGTGTTCTCAGAGAGTGATGAAATTCTGGTGTAATACTCTTAGTGCCCAAGAAAATGGGTGATATTGATATTACAATCAAGACAGTTAATTTTCTGAGTTTGAAATTTTTTTTAATGTGATTTGCAAGTATAGCAATGCTTACAGATGAAGAAAATGTGCCTTAGTATTATTTTTTTCAACAAAGCAAGTATTTTTCTGATTAAAGCCTGTGGGCAGAGCCTGGGTGTAGCTCAGTGGCAGAGCACTGGCCTAACATATGCAGAGCCCTGGGTTTGAGTCCCAGCATGGGGACGAGGTGTGTGTGTGAGCAAAGTGTACATGCAGCTGTATTTTCAGGGAAAGGCTCTTTCTGCAGTGGGAGTTCTACAGTTCTTTGTCAAGCCCCACTGATTGACCATGCAGAGCAAGGGTCTAGAAGTTCTTCTCTACACGGTTATAGGCCTCAATTACAACTTTCTTTGCTAAAGTCCTTCTTTTAGGTCTTTTATGTACTGCAGAATTGAGTTTAAGGTGCCTATGTGGTTAGACAGTAGGTTTAGGATCTGGATTTACTTTTTACATTGCATGAGATACACAGTGTCATTTACCAATCAACTTGACATATTTGTAGCAAATGAAATTTCTTTTTAAAAATTAAAACATAACTAGCTTGTTTTTATCATACAAACAGTACACATTCATTAAGGAAGTTGTAGAAAATAGGAAAAATTAAGAGGGGATGTTTTCCTGTAGTTCCACAGAATCACCAGAATCATTAAGTCAGTGGAGCCCTGGAGCTGGGGCAGGAAGTTCGGCAGGGTCCTGGGACTTTTGGTCGTCATAACTCAGGATGCTGTTAGGTTTAGTGGGTAGGGGCGGGGGATTTAGCTCAGTGGTGCCACGCCTGGCTCACAAGTGCAAGGTCTTGAGTTTGATCCCCGAACCGGGGGAGAAAAAAAAAGAAATGAAACATTCAGTGGGTAGGAGTCAGAGAGGCTGCACAATGTTGTACCAATCACAGGATAGCTCCCCCCAGAGCAAAGAATTATGTAGCCCAAACTCAGGAATACTCCTGGTAATACATTTTATTTAGATAGATTTCTTCCTATCTATAAAAGGTACTTTTTACTAGAAAAAAATTAGATATTTGGTAAATTTTAGGGATGGAGTGGAGTTCTGAGACAACATTTTATTTAGTGGTGCTGGAGCTAGAAGCCAGGGTTTCACACATGCTAGACACTGAGCTACATTCACTGCAGCCCCAACATAATGATGATATTATTTTACTGTTCTGCTTCTGAAAGTAAAAGGAAGCTTATATATGCATGGAGGGTTAATGTTCTTCATCAAGGACTGTGGAAAACATGTTTAATGACTGACTTGTGGCTCCCCTCTCCCCCCACCCCGCCCTGGAATTGAACCTTGAACCCAGGACCGTCACACTGAGCTACATCCCCGGACCTTTTTATTCCTATTTTTTATAAGGCAGAGTCTCACTAAATTACCCAGGTTTGGTTGGACTTGTGATCCTCCTGCCTCAGCCTCCCAGAGTGCTCGAATTCCAGGCTTGACCCACCACACTGGGCTCAAATTGTGGTTCTTAAGGAGCCTCTGAGATCCAGCATACCAAAGCCTGAATCTTGGACTCAGAGTAACAGAAGTTTAGAGTTGGAAGAATAGATGTTTCGTTATGGCTGGCAAAAAGTTTCATGTGGTAGGCACTGCTTGAACTATCAAGCTAGGGGAGGACCTTGAGGCCACATCTGGGCTAGTAGGAAAGAAATATTGTCATTGGTTAGGAATGTTTGTTTCAAACATGGTTTTAGGGAGTTTGGGTGAGCTACAATATATGATCTATGTACTTCTATGTATTCCTTGTTCCCGTACCGGGAATTGAACCCAGGGCCTTGTGCTTGCCAGGCAGGTGTGACATCACTGAGCTATACCCCTGGCCCTTCTGTGTATGTATGTATGTATTTATTTTTTTGATGCTGGAGATCAAACCCAGAGCCTCATGGTGTGCTAGACAAGCACTTTCCCACTGAGCTACACCTTTGGCCCTCCTTTTTTTTTTTCTGAGAGAACATTCCCTTAAGCCTGACAAAAGAGTATTGCATCAGAATTGCGTCAGAAGACAAATCATACCTTCCTTATATCCACAATACTTGGAGCTCTTTAAGTACACATGGACAAAACATTGCTTTGCTGACCCCTGCTTTTCATTTGCTGACCCCCTTGTTACCTGACAGCCTTCCTTGGGGCATGTACATGTTCTTTACAAAGCTTATAGAAAATACTCCTTTCTAGGAGGTATCCTAGGAGGGTTTATTTCCTCCTGACATACGTTAATTTCATTAATCAGGTCTACATCTTTCGGGGATACCTTGATGTTTTATTTCTTAAACTTTAATGCACGTATGAGTCACGTTGTTACGATGCAGGCTGTGTGTGATTCTGCACATTGTGTCAGGGTCTGTGATTCTGCAATGATGCTGGTCCAGGTGAAGCTGACGGATCAGTGCATGGATTGCACTGTAGTCCTTAGAGATTCCCTTCCCCTGACAGCCTCTGGAGTGTCTGCTTCCTGACCTTGCATTTTCTGATCCTCCCTCTAGCTTTCAGTCCCAATACCTCCTCTCCCTGCAGATTGAAAATAAGAGCTCAGTGGCAAGAAGGTAGCTTGCTGGTTGTGCTTTTATGAAGAGAAATCTTCCCAGGAGCCTTCCAGTCAGAGATTTCTATGGAGTTGATTGGCTAAATCGTGAGGCTGATTTTCCTCGATGAATACCATCCCTTTCATTCTTCTCAAGCAGTAGTCTGATCACTACACCATGCTTGCAGTATGCAGAGTTTTTGGGAGCAGCTGGGTTTTGGATTTTAAAACATAACTGGAATTCAGACTTAACCTGGTTTTTATTTTATTTTATTTTATTTGGTACCGGGGATCAAACTTGGAACCTTGCACTTGCGAGGCAGGCACTGGAACCACTGAGCTAAATCCCCAGCCCAAAATGTTGGTAGCAATTTCCATTTTTTTTTTTTTGGTACTGGGGATCAAACTCAGGACCTTCTGCTTTGTGAGGCAGGCAGTGGAACCACTGAGTTAAATTTAACCTGGTTTTTAAATCCTCAAGAAATCCATTCTTTTCTCTTACTTCTTCACTGCCACTCACTCCTTTTTCTTACTGTGTAGGAGCGGGTAGCTGGGGCTTCTAGTCTACAAACTGTGTAGTCACATGTTGGCCAAAACACCAACCAGCCAACAGGTGACTGACTGTCACAAGCTCACTGAAGTGGAGATTGGGAGAATTACCTGTCTACTTCACTGCCCAACCTGTGCTAGGTATGCAGCAAGTATCTGCCAGCACCTTCTCAGTTTCTGGATAGCCACAAATGAAAGGAGGTGAAAAGGAGAAAAAAAAAAGTGACACCCAAAACAAAAATACGTACCCACATATGGATTTTCCTTTTAAAATTTATAGTTTTTTTAGTTCTAACACACTTTACCTGGCATTACTTTTACATATCTGTCAAAACTATTATAAACCAAAAATATATTTTAATTGTTTCTGCCAACTTTTTTTCTTTGGAGACCCCAATCAGTAATAGATTTTAGAGTGCTGGGCATGCAGTAATCCCAGCACTTGGGAGGCTGAGGCAGGAAGATTGCTGCAAATTTGAAGTCAGCCTGGACTATACAGTGAGTTCAAGGCCAGCCTGCACTACATAGCAAGACTGTCTCAAAAACAAGTAGATTTTAGAAATGAATGACTGTTATTTGTAGCTTTTACATGTGTCAACCCCCCCTGGAATATTACCAAAAAAGAGTTAAAAGTCAGGGTGTCTTAGAAATACAAAAAACTTGATTGAATTAAAAGCAGGCCATTTGCATAAAAGAAACAAGGTCTCTTTGGACCTGATACCTGTAGAAAAATTCCATATTAAGGCCAAGAAGCATAATGAAACACATCTTGGTTGATTAACCATTTATTTATATTTGGGAGTGATAATAGAAAACACGCATGGGCTGGGCTCTAATCCCATGGCTGACTTTGTAGAACCTCCAGATGGCCTAGCTTTAGCCTTTGCGTGCACTTCCCACTGCTCCTTGGAGAAGGGAAATGGGCCTCCTGCCTGTACAAATAAAGTCCATCCCATCCTTTCTCCTGTCTGTCCTGCAGGGAGGAGAGCACTTTGCTCGGATGCCACGGTATCACTTCATGTAGCAAACAGAAGAGCAGGGCCAGCACCAGGGAGAAGCCACATTCTTCGGCCCCCTGGGAGTTTTCCCAGGACTTCTCCTCCGGCAAGCTGCCAGGGGCTGGGCACAGCCAGGAGACGTGCATGCCTCCTTGTTGTGCGGGAAGGGCGTGTGCAGGAGTCATGGAAGTGACTTGCCCGTTACTTCCCAGTTCCCCGATTCCCTCCATGCTCCTTAAGATCTCAGCATACTGGATTTTGACCACACTGTCTTTTTCAGGGTGCGGAATTCCACGTTGCTATCCTCTCCCTGTGAGTGGGACTGGCACCCCGGCTACCGCTCCAGCCAGAGGCCAGTGCACAGCCTGCTTTCCCAGGTACTTGCTTATTTGTCGTCGACCTAGTTACCAAAAGTTTGATGTAAATTATTCTCAGCACCATTTTGATATTGCTGATAACTAAATTTTCAAATAAAATTGAATGGCAATGTCTTTATTTACCAAAGAACAGAAATATCTTACGTGCATTTAGGTCTGCATTAAATGGTCTGGATTTGCCAAGGTTTGTTGAACCCATTTTCCTGGCTAAAGTGTATTAAGAACAGCTCCTAGAACATATGCCTAGCAGGTAGGATTAGCATTTGGTGTTTATGGTGTCTGGGTTTGGATGTCATTTTGATAGGTCACAACTTTTTTTCACTGTCATTGAGGTAATCAAATTATGTAACAGTGATAAGTACTTTGCTGAAGATGTTAGACAACACACTGGCTTCTAAAGATTAATTATGTACAAGTGTTTAGTGAAAGATCTGAGAGTATTATCTATTTACTGACTCAGTTTTAAGTATGAATTACATAAAATTTACAAGGTATTAAATTTTGTTTTGACAGATGCAGGGGTGTATTTGTTCCTAGTTGGATTTTAACCTCTGATTATAGGTCAATCTCTGGCTGCCTGGAATGGGCTTGTGATTTTTTTCATGTGCTTGGTTTGTAATTCCTGTCTGTTGAAACTGGCAGCCACTGCCCGGGTGACTTCCAGCCCCATGTGAGAACTGGAGCTTAGTGGCATGTGTAGTATACCCCCCAGAATGGCAGATGGCTGTTCAATGGAGTCCCAGTGCTGCTGCCTTCCAATTGTGTGACCTTGGGCATCAGTCTTAATGTTTTTTGAGCCTCAGGTCCTAAGGGACACATCGACATGAAGCTAAGTGAATTAGTGAATAGCAAGTACCAAGCACATAGCAAGACCTGTCTCGGAGCCTGGTTGTCTAATTGGGGATCTTTGCATGGAGAAGTCCTCAGTTTCCATTCAATCAGCGGGGCTAGGGTGGGTTTTGTTTGTTGAGATGTTCCCTACAGAGCTGTTAGAAGTCTCAAATGTAAGAAGACAGATGCTTAATAGATTCCAGAAGTGATTTTCCTAAAACTAGATTTCTAGGTCAGATCTGTTGATTTGGTCAACTGAATTAGACAGACAGTATATAATATAGCAGAGTGTGTCTCAGTTCATTTGGGCAGCTATAACAAAATACCTTAGACTGGGTGACTTAAAAACAACTGAAGTTTATTATTATTATTATTATTATTATTATAGTATTGAGGATTGAGCACAGGGCCTTACACATGCTAGGCAAACACATTACCACTGAGTCATACTCCTAAGCAGCCCTGTTTAAGTTTGATTTTGTGATATGGTCTCACTAAGTTGCCCAGGCTGCCCTCGACCTTGTGATCCTCCTGCCTCAGCCTTCTCAGTACCTGGGATTGCAGGTGTGCACCACCACAGCTGACTCACTTGCTTCTCTCTCTTTTTCTCACTCTCCCTTTCTTCCTTCCATCCCTCTCTCTTCTTTTTCTTTCCCTTTCCTTCCTGCCTTCCTTCCTTTCCTTCTTCTTTCCTTCCCTCCTCCTTTTTTTGTGATGCTGCTGATTGATCCAGGGCATAGAGCATGCTAAGTAAGCATTCTACCACTGAGCAACAACCCAGCCCCCAGCTTTTTATGTTGACTGTACTGGGGATTGAACCCAGTGCCTTCACACTGAGCGACATTTCCTGTCCTTTTAAAATTTTTTATTTTGAGACAGGGTCTCACTGGATCACTGTGTTGCCCAGGCTGGACTTGGACTTTTGATCCTCTTGCCTCAGTTTCCTAGAGTGCTGGGATTACAGGAGGGGGCTATCACATGTGGCTTAGAACTTTATTTCTTATAGTTCTGGATTCTGAAAAGTCCAAGGTCAAGGCATGAGCTGATTCAGTGTGTGGTGAGGGCCCACTTCACACCTGCATCTTCTTGCTGGGTCCTCTTATAATGGCACAGATCGTATTGTAAGGGCAGAGCTCTTGTGACCTAATCACTTCTCAAAGGTGCCACCTTGTTATAGTCAAGGTTTGCAAGGGAATAGATTTAATACAGGACACAATGTATAGGATTATTTTATAATATTCAACCAAAAAAGTCAAATGCACAGGAGTGCAAGAGCTCTCTCCACACATTAGAAACCTGAAGAGTCCAGCTGAGGGCCTGGATCCCACAGCAGTGTCCCACACAAGTCCAGTTGAAGGCCTAAAGCCCAAGGCAATGTCTCCTGCAAGTAGCTATGGTAGATCTGTACTGGGAAGGCCCAAAAGCCAGTGGTGGAAACTAGAAAGCCTACTCCAGTGGGGTGAAGGATTTGTGCCACCAGGCTGAGGGATCTGCACTGGAGCCAGGGAGTGACACTCAAAGTGAAGATCAGAGCTCCCCTGATGAGAACAGCAGCCATTCTCAGCGACAACAAAGACCCGAGCTCCTCTGCCAAGAACAGCCAAATTCAACTTCACATCAGGAAAACCAGCCTCAGCAAGCCTCCCCAGGAAAATCAACAGCATATGATCTTCCCCTCCAGTTCTCTTTTTATGCCATTGGCAACAGTCCTTCCACGCCCAGAACCACCATGCTGATTCAGTTCAGCTGGCCATTCCAAGTTGAACATTTTTTGATCCACCGCATACCTCCTAATACAATCATATTGAGGGCTAGGTTTCACCAAATGAGTTTTGTGGGGACACAGACATTCAGACAGTTGCAGATGGATTATTGGTAGTGTTGCCTGTTGGAATGAATGTTCCTTCTGATTCAAGTCCCACCCGATAGAAGCATGCCTTGCTCTGACCCCCTAACTGTACTGCTGACCTGCCTTTCTAGCATCAGTTTGGTTTCTGGCTCAGCACCTACTCTAGGGCTCCTTCAGGTATAAAAACACATGACCTGGGCTTGCTGAGATAAAGTAGCTTGTAGCCTGACTGGTGAGGACTTTTTTCCAGGGCATCCCACATCACCCTACTTTCAGATCCAGCAAACATTCATTAGGAGCCCCAAAACAACTACAGGAAGTATTACCTGCTGGCTCCCTTTCACAGCTAAAGACACAGAGATTCAAAGATTTTAAATAATTTCCCCAAGGTCGCACACCCCTTAACTCCCAAATACCATGAGATTTCTACAATAATCACTTACTTGTTACTGAGTTTAAAGAGGTAAATTCAGGTGGATAAACAGGTTTTTCTTGGGCCAGGGATTTAGCTCAGTGGTTCTGCCGCCTGCCTTGCAAGTGCAAGGACCTGAGTTCGATCCCCGTACCAAAACAACAAAAACCAGGTTTTTGTTAAAGGGCAGTTCTGATCAATTGATAGTGGCTGCCTGAAGTGAAGGATTCCTAGATGCTGCAGGAGTTTGTTGAGGAAGGAGTGTGTTGAGCCTCAGTATGGCAGAGAGGGGTTGGGGGCAGTTATGGGTGTGTGATATAGGATGTGTATTCCTCTTGTCTGTCAGGTTACCCATTTGGCAGGTTGTGTTTGAATGCAAAATGCATTTACCTGTGTTTGAAACCAAGACGTGCAGGCCCCCTGATATTGCTGGTCTTGGGGATGGAGGTCTGTAGGAGGAGAGGAGATTGATTTACAGGGGAAGCAGGGTTGGTTCCCTCTGAGGGAGGATCTGTTCCAGGCCTTTCCCCTTGGCTTGTAGATAGCTGTCTTCTCTGTCTCTTCACATTATCTTCCTTCTATGAATAGCGCTGTGTCCAAATGTTCCCTTTTTAACAAGTCATTTTGGATTAGGATCCACTTTAAAGGCCTCATTTTAACTTCATTACCTCTATTAAGGCATTATCTCCAAATAAGGTCACATCATGAGGTTTGGGGATTAAGACTTCCACATGTGAATTTTAAAGGAACACAACCTTTTACAGGTGAAGAGATGGAAATACAGGCCAGCTGCCCACATCACATACCCAATAGGTGGAACCACACAAAATTGCTTTTATTTTTTTCCTGTACTGCAGATTGAACCCAGTGTCTTTGCACTGAGCTAGCTACTTCTCTAGGCCTTTTTAGTTTTAAATTTTTAAATTTATGTTTTATTTTGAGACATGGTCTTGCTAAATCACTAAATTGCCCAGGCTGGGTGCAAACTTGTGAACCCCCTGTTTCCCAGACTGCTGGGATTATAAGCATGAGGCTGAACTTGCCATTTTTATAGGTCAAAAGTAGTCATACAGTGGCAGTATCGTTGTAAAGCAAAGAAGTAGCAGAACTAGGGCTTGTTGAAAGCCATATCTACCTAACTTCACAGCTATTCTCTTGTACCCAATGATCTACTGGCTTCTAGGGTTTTTGTTTTTTTTTTTGGTACCAGGGATTGAACTCGGGTCCTTGTGCTTGCTTGCACAGCAAGCGGCGAAACCACTGAGCTAAATCCCCGACCCCAGTCTAGGGTTTTGTTTTTGCCTGGTTCTCTTTTGGTTAACCCGGTAAAGCAGTGTTATGTTAATCTGGGTTCTTAGCCACTAGTCTGGTTAACTTGAGGTTCTCCCATTTCTGGATAAGATACACTCTACCACTGAGCTACACCCCTAACACATAGGGCATTCTTATATTTCAGATTCTTGCTATACAGGGACTGCTGAGAAATTCTTAAAGTATATGAAACATTTAAAATTCATTGAAATGGGTTGTGTTTTTACAGATGATGATAATGATGATGCTCTTTTTGCTTTTTTTTTTTTTTTTTGGCACTGGGCATTGAACCCAGGGTCTTCACACTGGGCTACATCACCAGCTTTTTTTATTTTTTATTTTTGAGACAGGGTCTCATCAAGTCATTGAGTTGCCCAGGCTGTTTTTAAATACACAAAATACATACAAATATGTTAGATTTCTTTGTATAGATGTCTTGATTGTGATTTCCTTCCAAATCCAGCCTGTTTGTAACATGTTAGCTTAACAATGTGTTAGTTTTTACATTTGTATTTCCGTGGAATTATTTGTGAATTTACTTAGAATTGTTTCAAGATTCGAACAGAATAACGATTGCCCAGCTATAGAGATTTCAGA